TTTCCGGTGAATGCAAAGAGGATAAAACGGCATGGACTGGAGGGCGCGGATATAGCTTAAGGTGATTCGATGAAGGCCATATTTTTTGTCAGAACGGCGTGCGATATATCGCATCAATTGTTTCCATTTTAGCAGCTACTCGTCATTTTTCTCCAATTTTGAGATCGCAATTCTATTGTCAGGAGACTAAAGCACTCATTTACCAATTTTAACAAAGAAATTCAACGTAATAAATGCGTGGTTTTTTTAGAGAGAAAACATCGCATTCGATACTGATATCGAAACTGCACTCGAATGCGATGTTTTCTCTCTAAAAAAACCACGCATTTATTACGTTGAATTTCTTTGTTAAAATTGGTGAGTGCTTCAGTCTCCTGACAACAGAATTGCGATCTCAAAATTGGAGAAAAATGACGAGTAGCTGCAAAAATTGAACCAATTGATGCGATATATCGCATGCCGTTCTGACACAAAATATGGCGTCCATCGAATCACCTTAATTTTGTTCCAGATCGCGCATTCACACGGTACCCACGATCCCACATGATCCACGTCCGATCCACCTACGCAATCCGCTTCAGCTCGCCCCCTCAGCGCATACCAGATATCCAGCCTCAAATTCGGTTTTATGATTTCCAGCCTCCGAGTTCCGACGAGACGGGCATTCGCGTCAATGGTCCATTATCGATATTTCCTCATTTGAAGCTATGGTAAAGAATCGACTTTAAAGGAACACCTAGTTTATCGATCCTTTTCCATAGGTTCAACGGCAGATCAATCGATATATCGCAAAGCACGCCACGCCACTGGAGGCATTGGCCAAGTGGAACACCTCGGCCCACACGCCCGTCCGCCGCCGCACAGTGGATCGAGTCAANAAAAAAAAAAAAAAAAAAAAAAAAAAAAAAAAAAAAAAAAAAAAAAAAAAAAAAAAAAAAAAAAAAAAAAAAAAAAAAAGATTTGTCAAACACGAGTGACAGAAAATGCAGAGCATATTTATAAAGCGGCCATCATCCATGATAAAATTCTTACTATCTGTAAAAATGTATATTTTAAGAACGTCTTTAGTGAGCTGAAACAATTGTCTTTGATTCTTTAATATCGGAGACTAGTAGTTCGTGAAAATGTCATTTAATGTATAAGGCTTTTCTACGATCATGTATACAATATTTGTCGAATAAAATACAATATAAACCCAAAAAAAAAAAAAAAAAAAAAAAAAAAAAAAAAAAAAAAAAAAAAAAAAAAAAAAAAAAAAGCCTCAAATTCGGTTTTATGATTTCCAGCCTCCGAGTTCCGACGACAGGCATTCGCGTCAATGGTCCATTATCGATATTTCCTCATTTGAAGCTATGGTAAAGAATCGACTTTTAAGGAACACCTAGTTTATCGATCCTTTTCCATAGGTTCAAACGGCAGATCAATCGATATATCGCAAAGCACGCCACGCCACTGGAGGCATTGGCCAAGTGGAACACCTCGGCCCACACGCCCGTCCGCCGCCGCACAGTGGATCGAGTCAATAGAAGAGGTCGGACAAAATTCGAAAACTTTAAACGCTTATAACTCTGTTCTTACAAAGCTTTGAGGTCTTAAAAGTGGTTTCATTGCTTCCCTCGTGAAATTTACTTTCAGAAACACTACTTAAAATCTAAAATGTGACGAAATAAACGTCAAAATTTGCAATTTTAGTTAAAAATTTCATGTCCGACTTCTCTAATTGACTCGATCCACCGTGCGCCGCGCCGACCACACACCGGAACCGCCGCGCCGGCTCCTGTCCTGAGGAAAAATGCCGTATCGACTTTCGAATGTTGCCAAATTTCGTCTCAAAAAATAATCATTTTTGAGAAAAGTCATGCATATTTCCCATAAAAATTTCCAGACACTTTAGATCAAAGTACGAACGAAATTCACTGAAAAATTGGAAGAAAAGTATTGACGAATTTTCCCGAAAATTCGTAATCTGTCAACGAGAATTTGGCAACGCCTGAAGGCGTATACGGCGCGGCGTTCTTTAGCACGGCAGAATGGACCGGACCGATTGCGACTTACTTTCAATGATCGCCTAGAAAGTCCACACGCGCTTCAAGTCCATCTAAACGTATGTATGCACAAAAATTCTTTCTCAGATGAGCCAGAGACGTAGTTCCGAGCTCCAAAATATGGTCCAAATATTGTGTAAGTAGGCATATTCTCAGTTCTTGATACGGAAAGAATGATAAGGTAATGTTAGCCGATTTCCGCGAGGGGAGTAAGTGAATGGTGGGCTGGTGGAACCCCCAGAAAAGTTTCCACACGTCACCTAGATATTGAAGGAGGACCTCATTTTTGCCATGTTACAATTGTTACTCTGAAGAAAGCAGTACTTGAGTCCAGAGCTCACGTCCGTCATGTAAAAAAGTCCTCCGTTTTTCCTGTCTCCGGACGGAGTCGTTTCACCAACGGGGTGTAAGTGTGATATATGCAGCTAAATAAGGTAAAAACTCGCATACGGAAGAGGAGAGAAAAATAATCGGCCTCGGTTGGAAGACGGATGGAAAACCAAAGATAGGAGGGGTAAGAGGAAGCTAAAAATACGAAAAAAAATAAAATCTGACCTATCCCAATTGAGTACCTAGCAATTTTCACTTCCATTTAAGGCGATGGCACGGAATGCAGTTAAACTTCTCCATTTCGGTGATAGTTATGGAATTGAGACGTTCAGTGCAGAAAGAGAATTTCTAGCTTGCGGTGTCTCAAAATCTTCTCTGCTATTTTATATTTTAGAGAGAAAACTATTCAGAAAATTTTCTGAAATTTTTTACTTGTAGCGTTGTAAATTATGAAGAAAATTCAGTGAAAGTATCAACGAATGCCATACCATTTGTTTTATAATTGTAATCAATGTTATAGCGGAGATTCCTAGAAACAGCAACCAAGAAATTCCCTCTCTGCACCCACCACCGAGCGCTTCAATTAGCAGAATGACCAGACTTAACCAAAAACAGCGTAACTAACAGCATGGCCTGGCTTCTATTCAAATGTCATGTTTTAAGCAGAGAACTATAAGCGGCACGTTGCTTCCATTAATTTTTAATACGTTACATTTATTTATTTAAAATAGAATAGCACATGACTTTTGATCATTTAGGTAAAAGTCGAATAGCACCATAGTGCGAAGATGCAAAAGACTCAAAATATCTTGCACTCTACTATTACTGAGATCATGAGAAATTAAGTATGTGCAACCCAGGGAGCACAGCACGTCAGACAACAGCAACTGAGTACAAAAAAACACTTTGTTAAATGCAATAAGCTGCTAAGTTGAAAAGCAGAAGCTGACATAACGAGACTGAATAAAATGAAGACATTCGGCCACCATTACATGCCAACATGGTATTGATCACAGTGTCAAAACAATAAAGCAAGAGGGCCAGTGACTCAGTGGCTCTCGGAGCCAGAATGCTGAGAAATTTAATTGCGCAAAACCTAGTTACCCACGACTTTCAGCATGCAACTTGCCTCGGCAAGGCAATTTAATACTCCTCTGCCAGGACCATTGTAATGACCTGGTGGTCAGTTTATAGGGGTTAAGAACGCATCTGACAAGTAGGCATTTGAAAATTCAGTTACTAAAAGAGGATCTCTCCCCCGATACCTCAGCATGCAAAAACAAATGACAAATGACATCAGATCCTCTTTTCCTTTTCACACCTTACACACGTAAATAGTAGCAAGCGTCTATCCCGCTTCAGAGAGGGAAAGATTGGAGCTGGCTAGAGGAGCCTCTTTGTCATTGCACTCTATGTTATTTTTATAAAGGAGAACAAATTGACAACAAGCCTTGAAGTTTATGCAGAGTTTTCTTCGCACAGAGAAGAAAATTCACTGCCATTTTAAAGAATTGCCGTTGAGTAGTTTACCGTTTAAAAAATACTTAAATGTATGACAAGAAGTTTGAGATAACCAAGTTATGTGATTGCCAACTTACACCGTCAATATTCTGGGCAAGATGCTGATAAGATTAGAAAGATCTCGAATAGCATAACGACGGTGTGAGTCGGCAATCACATAGCTCGGTTTCCGATGTCGGAGACTTCCCGTCATACTTTATTTTTAAACGGAAAACTACTCAACGGCAATTCTTAAAACTGCCGCGATTTTTCTTCTTTGTGCGAAGAAAATTCTGCAAAAACTTCAAGGAATGATGTCAATTTACTGTCCTTTAAAAAAATAACACAGAGGCAGAGATTTTCAGACACCGCAAACAAGATATGTGATTGCCAACTTACACCGTTGGTAAAAATTGCCTCTAAAGATTATTAGCTCATGGTGGGTGATTGCATTGTGCCTCATGGTGTATTAAAGTTTGTGCATTGAATATTAGGACCAAAGTCAAGTATTGTTAATGTCACTGTACATTCAATATTGCTGTTTGACTGCATGTATCATCCTACTCAGTGGTGCTGAATCGGAGCTACTCAGAGATTGACATTTGTCGTATTATACGATGCAAAAGGTCTAGTGCTGCTTCTAATGGCTTACAAGAACAGTATCTTCAAAGCAAGAGTCCCGTGTTCTACGCATTTGCAAAATTCTTGCATAATTTAATTGTGTGCTGCACAATCTGAATTGACTTAAATTCTCCATTCACTCTAGTTTCAGTAGATAAAAAAATGTTCCGTTTAATCTCATCCAAATAAGGCACTGAGAACAGCGCCCTAGAGCTCGTGCATCGTATGTTGAGACGAACGTCAAAGTATTGTCTATGTCACCATTCACCAGTGGTGCCACCTGACTACATGTATTAACCTGTTGAGTGGTGCGAATTCAGAGCTAGTCGGAGATTGACGTTTGTCTCAACATACGATGCGTGAGCTCTGATTGGTGTCCCCGAGATGTCAATAAAAGTATGGTGCAAAGGTGCCCTATAATACCCTAATACAATCTAAACACTGCATTAACTGAGCGTTAAGTCCTGTAAATCTACTGTAGAAATAATGATATGTTCGACTTACTTAGCTCCTCTGCTAATCGCAACATGACACCTCCGATATGGACATCTCCTCTCACACGGAGGCATCTTTCAGTTTGTAAATCTGTGACAAACACTTTCAGATTCCACGATCCATCTCCGACCAACATTCCATTGGCCATGGCTCTGGAGATTTTTAATTCACACACCAACAGAACAACTGCACTTCCGAGAATAGGTTATCTCAAGGCTACTTGAGATTTGCTACACTGATGGGCGCACACCGCGAAAATTCACATCGTGGTGAAAGAATCAGGTATGTGACGGAAATCATGAGCAAAGAATGACTCAAAAACGCACATGAAAAGCCATTTGATAACAAAACGCACGAAATTAGAAAAGGTTTGGGCCAGAAATGATACAGAAGGGGCACACGCACACTCCTTCACTTGACACTTGATTGCACTAGAACCGCGAGACGAAGCACAAAATCCGAAGGTAGAAGTTTAGATAACCGACATTTATCACAGAAAATACACTTTTTGAATCCCGAAATTGCCAAAATTTAACGCAACAGGTTGACAACGCCCTCAGACCGTGAGACGGACACCGATCGACTAGTGTCGGTACATTGTTGGCACTGCCGTAAAAGGAATGGACTAAAGAGGCCACACTGACTCGCCAGCCGCGCTCCTATTGGCTAATGAGCACATCTGGTGCGCGCTACGGGCACACACAGAGATCCCGATAACAGCTCTACAGCCGGCCTTCGGAAACGTTGCTGCAACCATCTACACCTACATTCATTGCGGTGCGCACACACACAGCTTTACCCGGCGCGCTGAAAATGAACCTGGTGCGCAGCCAGGCGCTATGCCATTCATTTTCGGCGACAAGACAACTGACAAGGACAACCTACTGAGTCCGTCGAATGGGATGCGTGCTTGATAGTAACGGAACATTCCTGTCCTCAGATTCATGAATGAAAAAGGAGTAAATGTGACCTTGACGGGGCTCCATGAAAGAGCTGCTCGGAGACCTTGAGGACTCACACTTGAATAATTAATTATAAGACACCGTCGTGGAAAAAGTTAAAGAATTGAATCATTTTTTTCGGATCCAGACCGTCTTCTGCCCATTGCAAGGTTGCCATTTGGCCCATTTGCATTGAAGGTTTCATCCCTCACTCGGGGCCTGGTTCTTTATGTCCATCCTCAGACTCTCAGAAATTTTATTTTGAATTTTCATTTTTCATTCATTTAATGAATTGTTATTTTTAGTTTATTTTACGAATTGTCATTTTTTTTTTCTACTTTATTTTTTGAAGTGAAATTGAGTCAATTTTAATGCAGAGAGTATTCATAGAGTCAAAATCGTAGACATTCTCAGGAAATTACGTCTACTCTTTTCCCAAAGAAAAAGCCGCATCGTTGCAGGCCGAGAAAAGCATGAAATTTCCGAGCATCGCAATTGAAATTAGATTGCTGTTTCTCAGTTTACATGGCTTATTGCGAATTATAGATATTACATCATTGAACAGAACTGTTCAGATTCCGCTTGCATGAAATTTTCAATTTTTGGTTTAGACAACACGATAATACATTAATGTGGTAAATAATATTGGTGAAAGAAAAATATTACAATTGTTAGGCGCGTGGGATTGAGGTTCACACTTACCCTCTGCTTTGAGTGGGTAGTGGGAATTTTTTAGTTCCTCGTCACGCGGAAAAGCAAGCCGCAGATAAAACGCCTTCAAATCGAAGTTCAAGCAACCAGCGGTGACTAGTAACTAAAATTGCATACCGCCAGGTTGAAGGAGTACTCAAGTCCTCGCTCAACTCCACAAAAATCGCCCTACCAAAAAAATTTGTTTCCGTCAACCACGGTTCCTTTCCCAGTTGACGGCCACATTTTGATGGCTGAAATCGAAAAATGCGTTTTTCAGTTTGCGACGATAAGTTTCCCATCATTTTTATTTTTTGAATGAAAACCAACAAACAGTCTCATCATCATATATTCTAAGTGAATCATAGAAAAATTCAAGGAAACATTTTGATTAGTAATAATCGCAGAGAATAAAATATAATTGGAGGTTTCTTAAACGTTAAAATTGAAATACGTCTTTCCGTATTTAGCCATACATACATGCCGAGTGGAAATTCAAAACCGGGTTGTTGCTAAAATATGCATTTCGCTCCTCAGCGTAAAAGATCTTAAATGCCTCCATTTTCATGAGGAAACTTTCTCTAAATTTGGTCTATTAGATACTGATACACAATTATAGCAACACCTGATGGCACTTACCAGGTTTTGAATTTCTGCTGCTCTCCATGTACAAAAGAAAATTCACACTTCTTCAGATTGTGTGGCTTTCACCTGAAAATTTCCGTTTCGCACGGTTTAATAAAAAGATTCTCAGGTTTTGACGTTACTTTTTTTTTTTTTTTTTTTTTTTTTTTTTTTTTTTTTTTTTCATTTTTATGGCCAGAAGTGATAATCCACAGCTCGAAAAAGGAATTGGGAAACAATTTTTGAAAAGCTCGTTTCCACACCACCTTAGGAGAGTCTGATCAGGTAAAAGATACGATGCTGCTCCCGGAGGTAGAGCTTGCGGCGCGTTTTTTTTAACGTGGTGTCGCCATGAGCCCTAATCCACGGTGGGGGGAGGGGGGGAGAGAGAGAAAACAAAATAAAACACTTACCAACATTAACGCAGCTCCAGCTTCCTCTGCTCCATGCCGTTTTTGATTCTGCTAAAAAGCAGCTCTGCCCCTCTTCCCTAAGACGGAAGTAATGCCCTCTAAAACTGATTAACGATTACAACCCTTGTTTAGAAGCGAGGAGAAATAAAACGGTATCTTACCTTCGGTTGCGGGAACCAGCAGCAGCACCTGAAACAGAAAAAAAAAGAAAAAAAAAAGAAAAAAATACGATGATCCCGGTACGTTGACGATGATCCTGGTACGTTGACGATGATCCTGGTACGTTGACGATGATCCTGGTACGTTGGCGGCGGTCGGCCCCAACCCCGGCTTCCGGCGCCCGGCGCCCGGGTTCCTTTCCCACCTCCTCCCTTTTTTTTTTTTTTTTTTTTTTTTTTTTTTTTTTTTTTTTTT